GTGTCAAAATCTGAATATTTTAGAAGCTTTGTTAATCCGAATATATTTTATCCTTTTAAATTATGTGCTAGTCTTCATGGCTTTGAGGAGTTTATCTCTAATGAGATACCTTCATTAGTTTTTGAAGTAAAACTTCTTTTTAGGTGCGACTAGGGTATAAATTGGTTCAAATGCAACGGAAGTGCGTTACGGCAGATAAGATGAGATAAGAGTCGAGTGCCAATGATTCGTCATTTGCTCTCGAGGATATCATTTCTATATGGGTCGATTGTAATTAGTCGTCGCGTATGTGAATAGAGATCTGTCGTTGTATGCGTACCGAAATCAACAAGGAAATCGGCATAGATAAATAAACATTTTAAAATAACATCGTAGTACAAATCTTGATTAAATGAAAAATGCCTGAATCAGAAGAATATTTGACCCTATTCCTTGAAAATAATAAAACAAATTAAACATTTGGGCCGTGTACTAAACGTAAGTTTATTGGTGAGAAATTATTTCTATATTATTCGTAGTTTCTATAAATCTTTGAAGTTATTAATATGGAAAATAATTTAGACAAGACAGATATTACAGCTGTTCTTTGAACGAGATTATGTCACCAGCAAAAAAGTAAGAAAAATACAAGCAGTCAATGAATGTATGTTAATTTTAATTACATGAAGTTCTTCAAACACAATTACATAATGAGTGAAGTTGCGAAAATAATATTTATTTAGGCGTTGTTTAACATAATCCACTTTGTGAACGAATATTATAGAATTTATTAATCAGTAATCACTTTATTTCTCTAATGAAGGTTCATTTCTAAATGCTCATTACAATGACAAACCAATCATGTCATATTTGAAGTATGACTTTAATTACATCATTGTTTTTAAATATTATACATATTTTTAATGCTATTATAAATATATAATTTATAATTTATCATTATATAAATGTGTATAATGGTTGACACTAATAAATATGTGCATCACAAGTGTTACCATATTACTAATAAACATTATTCAAAATTGTTATATCATGTATTTATTTTTACTTAAATGCCATCTTGTACAGTAGCAAATAAGTTTTACTTCAATCTCGTGTGAACCTTACGCGCACTCTTTTTTTACTTTTTACTTTAAATCGAATTCACTCTGTCGGCAATTCTTGGTTCAATTTATGACTTGGGAGAACTAGTAGTTTCTCATAATATTTTTCACTTTTTTGTGTTAATTCATTTAAGCATATTGTTGGTATCAATATATTGATTCATTTAAGCATAATTTGGTATGAAACTTAAGGCATCTGGCCTATATTAATTGAAAATATTGTCTGATTATCAAGTCAATCGTTTTCTATGTCTGAAAGAGAACTTACACTTTAAAATCTTTGTACAATTCGGCAACACTTGTGTGATGAATGTGGCCCACCTATATATCATCAGATAATTATTTACCTTTGTTCTCGGCATTTAAATTTCCATAAACGTCCATTGATGCAGATATGAATGATGTTATTTTAATTTTATGCTAACAATTACTTTACAAAGCGTTAAGAGGTTTTGCCGTTGGCTGAGAACGGCACATGTAATGCATGAATGATACAATTGTTCTTGCGTTAACACTTCGGATTCTTCGGCAACCGATCTGCTATTAGCGACTCCTTGACATACATATTTTTATATAGCATATATTACATATATATGTGTATATATCAATAATATATAACTGTTTTATATTACTATCTTGAAGCGATCAATTTGCAACATATAAAAACATATCAAATTGATTTGGTTTTGGATAACTTATTGATATATGGTACGTACCTTTAAAACGTTCATCCATTTTGGAGAAGGACACAACATTCCTGTGAATAATTAGTTGGGCTAACTTTTAATTCCAAATGGAAGTAGCCTTTCTCAGCATTAATGCAACATTAGAATTAAAAAATAATCACCATTAAAAATAAATATATCGCATTTTAAGGCAAAAATTATTAGTTTTCTGCAATGGCTTATAGAATGCCTGGTCAGTTCTGATTGCTATTCAACATATATAAAAAGGGCATATTGTAGGTCTTTATTTTAATAAATTTTTTTAAGATAGTAAAAGATATCCAATTATAGAAAATCAAAAAGATGAAATGCAGAATCAAAAATGGTGGAAGTTTATTATTTATAAAAATTCATAGTTTATTATAACGATTGTCTTTACATTTAGATTGACTATGTTGGAATTATACTTATTTGTATGTTCAAATTCAAGAAAAAAACATCAAGTCCATTAATTTGATCATTTTAAATAATCTCTACTTGTTAATTTCCCGTAGGGTAAGTTAAAGTAATCGCAAAATTTTTTTATATATCTTTGCGTTTCAAAGGTTTCTGAATATTTTGGCATACCTTAGAAAAAATGGATGTATGTGTGTGTGTGCGGATACAAATTTTCGTCGACGGTTTCGGGAACACCGATCAATCGATTTGAATAATTCAAAAAACATTCGATTCGTATTGATGCGATTCGAGACGTACTAATTAGTTTTTAACGAAGGCAGGTCTAGTCGTTCCGAAGATACGGGGCAAAAAGTGCCAAAAATGGTAACCCACTTTTTAAGAAAACGGAGCGTCCGATTTTAATAATTGAAAAAACATTTTACTTGTATTGACAAGATTAAGGACTGACCAAATTTTCATGAAGGCAGGTCTAGCGTTTTCGGAGATCCAATAAAAAATTTAAAAAAATAAATGCCATTTGGCGGTCAAAAATGATCATTAGACATATGCACATCAAATTACCAGATATTTTATAGAAATTTTAACAATAAGTATAAATTTTGTTTACATTCCTATGTGTTCCGTACCAATCTTTATCCGTTAGACGGCGACGCGGCGCTTACGCGTTTTGACATTTCGTCTCTATGCAGTTAAAGCAATACGATGGCTTTGAAAAAAAGTTCAAAAAAATTCCAAAATAAAGAAAACATTGTTTTTCAATACCTTTTTTTCAAATAAAAGTAATTTTTTGTCAAATTTATAGTTTCTCAAAAATAAAAATTTTAGAAGTAAATTTTTTTCAAAAATGTTAATCGTTTTTAAATCTTTAATTAATAGCAAATCGATAACCAGTTTTAGGTTTAAGCTATGTTTTTATACTAAATATTTTTATATATAATCGTAATAAATAAGTTATTATTTACAATGCATGAACTGTGAATCAGGAAATTGGTTACCTATTAATGTGTTATCTTCTGCAAGGTAAATAATTATTTAAAAATGCAAATACATATTCATAAAACTGGCTTTTTCGACATTTTGATCTCCGAATTTTCAATAAGATCAACATTCTTTTTTAACCTTAATACTCGTCCCGTAATAGGTAAACGATTCTAGATTTATAAAAAAGTTATAAAAATAGAATCCATCATAATATAGAAAATAGAGGTAATATTATATCAAAATGTACTAAGAACAAAAAATCGATAAAAACAATATTTATATGCAAAAATAAACAGAATGTTGTTTGTTTGATAATTTACCTAGAAAGTAAATTCATGTTGAAAGTCGAGTATTTTTCTTAGAGTTATTATTACGATTACTTTTCTTACAATTTGTTTTAGAATCTAAACCCATTGGACCATTAGACAAATCAAAACAATATTTTAGTGCTAAATAATTTAGTTGATTTATGATTTTTATGCACGAGTACCATCGGTAGTTGGTTTTTTGGAGGACTTTCGTTTTCTAATATTTCAAATGTCAATGGAAAAAAATGATTTAAATACTAATAATTATACTAAAAGTTGCATCAATTGACATTATTATTTGTTTATAGAAGAAAAATTTATTGTAGATCTTAGGCGTCCTATTAGTCTGCCATACAATTAGAATCAATTGAACCATTATTTGATGTTCCAACAATCTAGCAATAGGTAAATTTAGGTAGATTCATAAGGTCTATGGGTAAATTGCAATATATGATCAGTTGCCAATTGTTTTTTTTTTGCAAAAGTCATATTTCACGTCAAAAAATGTGCTATAATTCAAAAATAGTTTAGTATTACGATTTTTCTAAATAGATTTGTTGAGCCATTCTGACCATGATTGTTGGAGCGTGCGATGTAGAATTGCATATCTGGTGAAGCGTAAGATATGAATATAAATAAATACATATAAATATAATATATATATATATATATATATATATATATATGTATATAATTAACTATATATACAAACCTCTATATTGTTTATATATGTTCTATATATGTGTGTCTAAATAGACTGTATTATTCATAATCAAAAAAGCAACACGTAGAATATTAATTTCAAAGCATGTCCTCGAGATTTCTCTTGAAATAATAATGAAGATATATATATATATATATATATATATATATATATATAAATATACATATATATTATAATTCTTCACATTCTGCATTTTAATTTATAGCAATTATTTATGACAGTCCATACTTAAATTTATAATGAATTATATTTTTGTTATTATTTTCTTCATTTCAATCGTTTGGTTTGTTAAAATGATACATATAAATTAATGTATAGAGTAGGGTGGGGCACAACGTCTAATTTGACTTTAAGCATTTACATTGCGAAAACCAAATCAAACCAATTATCATCACGACAAATAACACATATCAAACAAACAACTATCTGACTATGTTCAGTAAAACTCCATGGGTGAAGTTGCATTTTATGTATAAAACGCCAGATCTCATAGCAAATACATGGCACTCTCACAGTATTTAGTAGCATTTTATATGAAAACTGAAACAAACATAGCCTTGCCATAACATTGGTCTATTTTACGGCAGAATCGTTCCACCAATAAAACATATATACATATGTACCTGTATAATGACTATAATAATTTTGTTATTGTATGGAAGTACTATATATTTATAACTGATACGTTTGTATTTCATTTTTGCATAATAAATCGTTAACGTTGTATTAAAAATATCTCTATAAATTTTTCTCCTTCTTCCAGAACTGATACCAAGACCTCTACAATTAATATTTGGCATTCGAGATGGATGGCCAAACTGGCTTAGTGCTGGCCTTGCAGCTGATAGCACTGTGTTCCATAGCTGGAGCCCTTTTGCTGTATCTATTATGCAAAGTTCGAGGTGGTTCCATAAATGGCACCACACAGGCACCACCAGTTGTCATGGCCACAGGCGGCGGCGCTGCGGTTCTGGTTACATCGGCTGACACTGCGTTAGGATTACAGGTAATAATAATATATATCATCAAAGTCATAGTAGTAATAATTTAATAATATCAGTATACTTTTATTTTTAAAATGTGGAGATAAAAAATTTAAAAAAATATTAATTATAGTCACGAAAAATAACTAACTAGGATGGGACAACTACTGGGTTGCCTTCCATAAAGCTAATATATCGAAATAATTATTGAATGTCCTTGTAGTATAGATAGATCATAATTTAAAAACAGGAAAAATACAGTTGCTCTCCTCATCTTCTCTTTTTAGAAGTAGTGACTCTGTTTCTAGAAGAAGTGACTCTGTTTCTAGAAGAAGTGACTCTGTTTCTAGAAGTATTGACTCTGTTTGTAGTAGTAGTGACTGTTTCTAGAAGTAGTGTCCTTTTTTCGAGAAGTAGTGACTCTTTTTCAAGAAGTAGTGACATTTTTTGAGAAGTAGTGGAATTTTTTCTAGAAGTAGTGACTCTGTTTCTAGGAGTAGTGACTCTGTTTCTAGAAGTAGTGACTCTGTTTCTAGAAGTAGTGTCTCTGTTTCTAGAAGTAGTGATTCTGTTTCTAGAAGTAGTGACTCTATTTCTAAAAGTAGTGACCCTTTTTCGAGAAGTAGTGACTCGTTTTCGAGAAGAAGTGACTCTTTTTCGAGAAGTATTGACTCTGTTTCTAGAAGTAGTGGCTTAGTTTCTAGAAGTAGTGGCTCAGTTTCTAGGAGTAGTGACTCTGTTTCTAGGAGTAGTGACTCTGTTTCTAGAAGAAGTAACTCTGTTTCTAGAAGTAGTGACTCTGTTTCTAGAAGAAGTAACTCTGTTTCTAGAAGTAGTGACTCTGTTTCTAGAAGTAGTGACTCTGTTTCTAGAAGTAGTGACTCTGTTTCTAGAAGTAGTGACTCTGTTTCTAGAACAAATGACTATTTTTCGAGAAGTAGTGACCCTTTTTCGAGAAGTAGTGACTCTGTTTCGAGAAGTAGTGACTCTGTTTCTAGAAATAGTGACCTTGTTTCTAGAAGTAGTAACTTTTTTTCGAGAAGTAGTCACTCTGTTTCTAGAAGTAGTGGCTTTTTTTCGAGAAGTAGTGACTCTGTTTCTAGAGGTAGTGACTCTGTTTCTAGAAGTATTGACTCTGTTTCTAGAAGTAGTGACTCTGTTTCTAGAAGTAGTGACTCTGTTTCTAGAAGAAGTGACTCTGTTTCTAGAAGAAGTGACTCTGTTTCTAGAAGAAGAGATTCTGTTTCTAGAAGAAGTGACTCTGTTTCTAGAAGTAGTGACTCTGTTTCTAGAAGTAGTGACACTATTTCTAGAAGTGGTGACTCTATTTCTAGAAGTAGTGACTCTGTTTCTAGAAGTAGTGACTCTGTTTCTAGAAATAGTGACTCTGTTTCTAGAAGTAGTGACTCTGTTTTTAGAAGTAGTGACTCTGTTTTTAGAAGTAGTGACTCTGTTTCTAGAAGTAGTGACTCTGTTTCTAGAAGTAGTGACTCTGTTTCTAGAAGTAGTGACTCTGTTTCTAGAACAAATGACTATTTTTCGAGAAGTAGTGACTCTGTTTCTGGAAGATGTGACTCTGTTTCTAGAAGTAGTGATTCTTTTTCAAAAAGTAGGCACACTTTTTCGATTGTGCCTAGTTGCAGACTTCAAATGTGAATTTTTTAATTGTAATAGAACTTATAGTTCCACCGATTTGTCTCAAGACAAAATGCTATATACGACTAGTTAGAATATTAATTGTAAATTTTTATTTCAGATATCAACGCATTTAGCATCGCGTGGCTACAAAGTATTTGCAGGATTGAAAGATCCGGTCGACAGCGTCGCTGCGAAACTATTGCGAAATTGGCTCAAAGCTAGGGAAATGGAAATGGTGAGTAAATTAATTCAAATGTCACATGCAACTTATTTTTAATCCCTCTAATAAACGAGACTGAGGCAAATGGTTTCATGATAAAATAAATATAAAGGTCCAAAACATATAAAAATGAACTGGTCAATATTTGACTAGGGCTTTTTCTATTTAACCTGGAACCCTTTGAGGGATGGAAATATAAACGAATTTTTATGATTAGGTTAACATGCCCAAAAAATAGATCTATTTTCAATTCCAATAATAGAAGACATTAAAATAGAAACTAAATACTATTGACATAAATCCATCCTAATTATAAACTATTGACTTGGACATGATAATTAATAACCTGAGTATATTTATTATTAACTCTCGAAACTCAATTAAGTTTCTAGCAATATCTGCCATACATACATATATACATAATTCATATATATGTACATATATATATATATATATATATATATATATTTATATAAATATATATATATAATATTTATAATTTTATATACATATAAATAATTATATGTGTATTGAGTGAAAATGCAAATAATTAAATGAAGTCATACACGCAATATGACGCATGGAAAAACTAATTAAACGTTTACACGCATTTATACTTAAATGCAAATTTGTGAAATCACATAAATACATATGGATTGTACATTTATTACTTTATTTGTACATGGTATATTGTATAAATGGTCTTTAGTTTAGGGGGAGTGCATTAATCACATAATCGATTTTATAAGGATTTTTGGACCCTCCCTTCCTCTTGGTGATACGTGGGGATATTCAAAATTAACCCCCACTTCCCCCATCAAACATTACTTGTATTTTTAGTTACGAGAAAAATTCGTGAAATTTTTTATGTTTTTGAAAATGTTTAGATTAAAAAAAAACAGGTAAAAAATAAATGCACGTGATAGCTTACTATATCACTCTCTCCCCTACGTGATATTGTGATATTTTGTGATTTTTGTCAAACTCCCCTGCATCTAAAAACCTCACGTGATTAATGGATGTCCCCTTAGAAGATGGTAAATCTGAATTCTCATTGATCAATTCGATTATTCACACATATCTAATAGTTCATGCAAGTTGTCTTAGACAGATTGCCACTTGCAACGAGTTTTTACAGATCAATGAAAATAAAAAAATATCTAGTTTTGATACGAGATCAAATATATAGTTTTTGCTGATGATATGATTTTGCTCTAAGTCTCGAACTACTACAAGAAGCTAAAGAACGTTTTCTATGAAAAAATCAACAAATAAATAAATAAACTAAGACAAAATGGTATAAAGAAACCTTGTTTTGAAATAAGTACTTGCACTTATATACATCTATTTTCCCAAGAAGTATCCGATACTAGTTTATGACTAATTCCAAGTTCATATAATTTCCTTCGTGCATGATAAACGTGTGTACTAAACTAAATCGTCTAATTACCATTTCCCGCACTTGTAGTTCTCGACAGCATTTTTTATGGAATTATTAATATGATCTCAGATCACGATATAAAGTGAGATTTTCTCAGTAAAATGTAGGCAGAACACGCTCAAGTTGTTTATTAAAAAAGCAAAAATCTTGGCAAAAAATTACACGGATGGATTTCTAAATTTTTAATGTATTCAACTTTTTCTAGATAATTGGATAATTGATTTACGGAAAGTAAATGCATAGTTACGCGAAATGTATGCAAATGGGAGAAAAACAAAAATTCCATAAAATTGTTAATTATGGAAATATGGAATAGTAGTATGTTGTTAAAACGCAATATTCTGAATATTATCTCTCTCTTTTTATAGAACGTTTGTAGTGCAGTGTTAAGAACCTTGGCCTTGCAACCAGAATTGAGTTCCAATCCTAAATCCGCCTTACAACTTGATATTAACCACCAGTGATACACATATTTTTAAAAATATAGGTTGGAATATGTTTCCAAATGAGAATATGAGAATATGTGCTTTCTGCTTATTTGAAATTTTTCTATTTTTTGTTTTAATTTTTTTTATCCACGTGGTTATGATATTCTATATTCAATTCCTCCAGGGGTCAACGTTTTATCCAGTATGATGCAGTTCAGATCATGTAAGAAGTTCATAAAATAATTATATGTTCAACATAAATATTTAGTTTGATGCACGACTTTGCTGTCTGAATATCCTGACTTCCAAGTAATGTGTACAAATACACAAAGTTAATTTTAGATCAGGAAAATTTCTTGGAACAGAAATGCTGTATGTATATACAGGCGACTTCATAAAATGTAGGGCGTTGTAATTCACTTACGATTAGCACTCGGACGTTATGTGACGAAATGATCTTGAGTAATATATTTAGCAAGATGGATTTCAAGAACGGTATATGGTAGAAAAAATACTGTACCGTGGTGAATGATATTGAACCTTAGATTCAGTAAAAAACTGATTCTGTAATGGTATTGAACATTACAGAAAGTTCAACAATGTTGACCAGTTGACCAGTATTTTAGATGCAAGTTTTTTTTGTTTGTATATGAGCACAGAACCCTATATTAGCTAAAAGACCAATGTCAGTTTTTCATATTCATGCCACAATTCAAAAATTTGTATTAAGTTAAAATTATTTGACAAGAGTAAAGGATAATAGAGAGCAATGGATTAGCAAAACTCAAAGTTTTATGGAAAGAATTATTTATGCGGAAAAAACATTTTGAGAATTAAAGATGAATATTGCTGATGCTAATTATTGGCTCATAAGGAACCATTTTTCTGCATATTTCTTATTCGTATTTTCAAAACGGTTACGTCTGTCTTTTGAAAAAAATGCTATTTATATCAACAGTATATAACGATTTTTTGTTAAATCACATTAACATTGTCTAATCGTTCTTCCAAAAACTTATTCTTTATACTTTTCTTATTATACACATACTATACTCAAATGAGTTGTTTATTAGATTTTTTTAGTATAAAACTATCAATTTTACAATCCTAAATAAATGTGCCAACTTTTAGCAGAACTTGCCAACACACTTTAGTACATTTTTTTAAGGAAAGATTCTCAAACTCGGTCGATTTTCAAAATTTTAAATTCATAGTTCAACAAAATGTCCTAATTCTTGAAAAGTTGGAGCAAATGTGTCATTGCTTGCGACTGTGGTCCAGAAAATGTTACTTACTATTACAGATCCAAAGTTTAAATAAATAAAATTAATAAAAATTAACCACAATAACCGAAAAATCATCACATTATCTCTAAAGCTCTACGTTGCACTTAAAATCTCATAATTTTCAAACTTATTATAATTTTTTTATGATAGATATGATCAATACTATCACCCTGAGTTGAGTTTTGGGACACCCTATATATTCAATAAATGAATCCTGATTCTTTCAATAAATTGATTAAGAACATTTTAATAGTTATTAATTTTTTATTATATTATTTTATTACTACATTAATATTATTTTAAACTCGCATTAGTTTATATACAAATTGATAATGATTTTTATATGTACTTCTCTAAATAAACGTCGTATCAGTTTACCATATTTCATATATAAAAATTGAACTTGGTATTATATGTTAGGTATGCTAAGGCTCTAAAACGGCTGTAAAGATTTGGCCAGTTTTAGTCTTGAAATATTCGTGCTGATCCAGAAGTTGTGGGAAACATGGGATATTATTTCAAAACCGCATAGAAACTTTACATTTTTAATTTAAAATTTTTTGTAGAAGCGTAATTTAAATGAAACCATGGACGGCGGCTCATACGTCAAATGTCAAATGCTTTTGGCAGATGATGTTCAATTAAATTTGATAGTATGTTTTAGATGAATATTATTTACTTGTAGTAAGTAATTTTGTTTGAAGTTATATTTACATACAAACAAATAATTAAACGGGTATGGTTTCAGTGGGTAACCATACACTTCCACATTCAGAATCAGTTAGTTATTTTTCATACTAAAGATTTTCTAGAAATATTTTTTATGGCTAAATAACATTTGCTGGGCCAGCTTGTAAATAATCAATATTTAATAGTATGAGTAAAATATAGTTGAACCTTATACATTTCAAAATTTATTTTGGCACAATTAAAATATCGCCTAATTAAATTCCATTATATAAACAAACAAAATATATTTAAACCCAGATAAAGAAAATTAAAATAAGATACAGTTGCTCTATTCTCTTTTAATATATTTCTGACAAAGAACATATATCTTCTAAACCATTTGCTTGTTATGGTTTCGATTTCGTTGGTCATTTTTAGATCAAGAAAAGATTTATGACTAATATTTGTTATCTTTCCATTGTTCCAGTACTTAAAGAACTATAACGAAATATTTATGAGAGTTTCTACGGCCTATTGTTGTTGAAACGCATTAAAGTGCATTCGGCCTTAAACGTTGTAGACGAATGGTCTCGCATTACAATATTTTACAATCATAGAAGTAAAAAAAATCGATTTAACGATTTGAAGCAACGAATGTGGCACTATCTAATTGGATCGTAATTAGATAGACATTTGCACAATTTTTACTACCAAGAAATAAAGATAATATAGGGTTGCCATAACAACGCTATGTTGGTGGCTGTGTTGCCACAGAATTGGCTCCTCAATATTGCCATTATGTAAAAGCCAACCGGTTGTGTTATACTTAGCAAATACTTGATTCATATTTAACTTTATTACCTTTCTCGGAGAATTTGACTCCAATGCAAGAAACTATAAACAAAAATGTGTCATCTATCAAAATATTCAATTATTATTATTTTCCAGGAAAACAGCGTCAATCCTAACCCAAGTACCACGGGTACCATCATACCCTTGCACATAGACGTAACCAGGGAGACGTCTTAAGGGAATCATCTGATTGCGTTGCTGGACATTTGCCTGCTGGTGAACGAGGATCAGGGAGTCATCAACACGGCTGGTGTCGTCACAAGGGACGAGTGGAACATCAGGACACCGTTCTTTGGGAAAATATGCTCAGGACTAATGTATTAGGTAATAGTCCTTTTGGTAAAATTTTATAATTCTTTTATCTGGAACATTCCAGAAGTCATAAAGGTTTTCTCTTTGTCATAAGTTGGTCATTCTGTTGACATTAAACAAATAACACAGAGCTAAGGTAAAGCTTTCTTAGACAAATAAAAGGAGTTAGAAGGACTTTCAAACATTTTTATTGTATTTATTGTCAAAGTCAGACTTACAAATTGCATCTACTTTCTACAAAAGAATCTCTGTAATACTTTGTAATTTCCCAGGTTGCGTTCGAGCAGCCCGAGTATTCACCCAACTCCTGCGTCCAACCAGAGGTCGTTTCCTAACCATAGGTGGAACTCCAACAATCTCTCACCCTCAACCCTTACCCAGCGACCTGCAACAAGGTGAAGGTCTCGTGGTCTACAGTGCCTGTCTACGAGCCATCGAAGGTCTCACCAACTCTCTTCGATCAGAACTAGGACCTTGTGGAGTAGATGTCATCCAACTGAGACCAGACTACATAAAAGCTGAAAAATTATATGGTTTACCTCAGAGGAATAATGTGGTGGAGAACAGAGCTGGTGAGCAACCAGTGGCTCAGTACACTGCCAGCGTTTTGGGACCGAATGGGTTGAGGAATATTGAGAGGGCTTTATGCGATTTGAGACCTCAAGAGTTCTATTCTTTAGCTGAGAACAAGAAGAATAATCTTCTTATGTGGGGAGGTCTCAAGAGCCCTTGGGGTCGCAAGACAAAAAAGAATGAACAGGGTACTGAAGCGCCAACGATTAGTGTTTAAGGTTAAAAACTAAGGTTAAGTTTTTTGCATAGGGTGAAAAATTTCATCATTTTTAAAATTTTGCATCGCTATGTGAAGTTTGTAAAAAAGTTTTTGGATGTGTAATACAGAAGTCGTTGACTTAGGTGATTTATTAACTTGTTGTTTTAACAAATATATTTTCTATACAACATTTTTATTATTAGACGTTTTTAATGATTTTTTTTAAACAACATAAAAGTCAGTGTTTTACGTTTATTGTATCTTGTTGTGATTGTAATAATTTATGCCATTTGAGTTGTCACAAAATATATTTAAATTTGTTTTCTAAATATTTGAGCTAGAATATAATTGCGACAAGCTTTATTTAATCTTAAGTATTGCTTTAAAATATAAACAAAAGGTTTTATTGGGAACAAATTCCAAATTAGTAGTCAATGGTGTTTTCTTGATGTCCTATTTGAACATATATTATTATTGAAAATTAGACCTAATTTTTAAATATATAAATAATAACTTAAATTTTAAATATTTTATTATTTCAATTATTTAAATTATGACGACTTCTGAACTATTTACTATTTTAGTGTATTGAGCTCAATTTTTGGTAGTTCAGTACACTATTTGCTTCCTATATGTGTGATTGTGTTTGAATGATTTTTAATTATATTATTAGTTTGTTTAATCAATGTATATAATATTATTTAATAGAATTGTGCCTTTGATAATTCTAATAAATAAATAGAGAGTTCTCGTTATTATCAGCTCATGAAAAAAATATATTTACATATTTAAGTATAAGACAAGTTTCTTTCCAATTTTTATTTTTGATTGATAACAAGAATCCTCCTGATTATTTCTAAATGATGAATATTTAGAATAAACAGTTCAGATGGTATAAATAACCAAAACTATTTTATAAATGATGATAATTTTTTATGTTTTTGACAGCATAAAGAAACAGTTTTAGTAAATTTAGTTTTTATACAATATTGAGAGTTATGTAGTAACTATAAAAAATGACGTTAATTTTTATTAATTCAGAATCGAAAGTTTTCTCCAAAGTTGTTTTGCTCTAAATATAAAAGTTTAATATCAACAAGAGATATATTTTTCATGATAGTAAAATTTGATAAATACAAAATGTACATTTAAATATTTTTTATATTTGAATCCATATCATCATCAGTTGAAGATACAAAAACTTCTTTTATCTCTTCTTCTTTGAATTCTTTTAACGTAAATATTATTAAAAACAGTTTTTTTTAATTTAAAGAATGTTAATTTGATTCTCAGTTCAATATTTAATTTTTATCCAGTATATCAAATATTTGCTTGTAAATGTGTGTGAATAAGTTTCTGAGAGTTAAGTCTGATAGGAATCAAATAACCGTAAAAATGTGCTTGGTAATGGACTAATAATCTTCTAAATTTATATATATATATATATATATATATATATATATATATGTATTATTTGTAAGTTGTACATAATATTTTATAATTATATACCAATATGTCATATTATGTAGGTGTAGGCAGCCTATGTATAAAATACTTTTGCTATATTTGTTATGTGTTACTAATAAATATAAATACTCAAATATAATATTTTATTTATATAAACAGATTCACCACCATTTATACTTTGATGCCTCAAAAATAATAATTGCATTAGAATTTTAGGATTTCTGGAAATGACTAAAAGAGTATTTCCTCCATAGTCTAATATAAGTAATAAAAGCTTTCAATATTTAATCAAGTTTGTCTCTGGAAATGTGTAATTTTTTGCACTTTAAAAATTTAGTCTTAGTTATTTTGTTATTTTTCTCATAAAGTTTATATTACACCCTAGATACAAATACAACTTATCAATTATCTGATGCAGATTATCTTACAGTACCACATAGTAATAATATCGTATAAGTATTTTCTATGTTGGTATTTTATTCCAAATTTTATTTATTATTATTATGTTTATAGTGTTATAAGATAAATGTGCTCGAAGAGAAAGCGAGGCGTTCTTTTAAATAACTAATTAATGTTTTTGTTTGATGTAATGAGTGATGATGATTCATGTTTGATTACTACGCCTGATTATTAGACCTTATAGATATATTTATACTGTGGATTATACATATAATTTAATGATTTTTTATATATTTTACATTTGCCTTAAAATTTCGACTAATACAGTCAGAAATTTTGATACTTTTGATAGATTTTTGCAAGCCAAATAATGCATGAGATTTTTAAAGAATAACTTAGTTCTGAATGATTAAGAATTCATACATCTTTAACTTTTTTCTATAATATATTTTTAATAAATCTAAACGTAAATATATATTACAACGAAAACAATACAACAAAAATAAATTGACAAAACGTTTATTATTATATTCAGTATGACATATCTTTAATTAAACATAATTATAAAAAATGTTGGCTAAACAAATAAACTTTCAATCATAGATAAGGAAATGCTTTCAATGATTAAAATATGCTTTTGATTGGAATTTCCAACAATTGCGGTCCAGTTTCATTTTCTAATGGACTGTGGTGTCCTGGTCCGTCGTGTCCTGAACCATGGTGTCCCGATCCATGGTGTCCCGATCCATGGTCTCCTGATCCATGGTGTCCCGACCCATGGTGTCCCGATCCATGGTGTCCCGATCCATGGTGTCCCGATCCATGATCAGGTTTATGAGGTGGCCAGTGGTGTCCTGGTTTGTGGGTCGGCCACCAGTGTGGAGGCCAGTGATGTCCGGGCTTAGTTGGTTTGCTGGGCCGAGTTGGGTGTGTTGGCTTCGATGGCTTATGAGTAGGTCTGTGAGTGGGCCTACCAGGCTTGTGTGTGGGCCACCAGTGTGGAGGCCAATGGTGTCCTGGCTTGTGTGTAGGCCACCAATGTGGAGGCCAATGGTGTCCTGGCTTAGTTGGCCTTGATGGCCAATGAGTTGGCCTGGTGGGTCTGTGAGTAGGGCGTGTTGGTCTATGGGTTGGGCGAGTCGGTCTTGTAGGTCTGTGAGTTGGGTGGGTAGGCTTAGTGGGTTTGTGAGTGGGGCGAGTTGGCCTGGTAGGTTTATGTGTTGGTCTAGTAGGTCTGTGAGTTGGTCTATGTGTTGGTCTGTGGGTTGGTCTGTGAGTTGGTCTGTGAGTTGGTCTGTGAGTTGGTCTGTGAGTTGGTCTGTGAGTTGGTCTGTGAGTTGGTTTATGAGTTGGTTTGTGTGTTGGCTCTTCAGTAGGTTTATCAGTCGGCTTATCAGTGGGTTTTGGTGGTGGCTCAGTCTCAGGGCTTTCGGTTGGTTTATGGGTAGGTTTTTCAGTAGGGGCTGCGGTTGGCTTTGCTGTTGGTTCATGAGTTGGTTCCTCAGTAGGTGCCGCCGTAGGTTTATGTGTTGGCCTTTGTGTTGGTTCATGAGTTGGAGTTTCAGTAGGAACCTCAGTAGGTTTTGCTGTAGGTTTATGAGTTGGTTCTTCAGTAGGTGCCGCAGTAGGTTTATGTGTTGGCCTGTGTGTTGGTTCATGGGTTGGAGTTTCAGTAGGAACCTCAGTAGGCTCTGCTGTAGGTTTATGAGTTGGTTCTTCAGTGGGTGCCTCTGTAGGTTTATGTGTCGGCTTGTGTGTTGGCCTATGGGTTGGTGCATGAGTTGGAGTTTCAGTAGGAGCATCAGTGGGTTGTGCTGTGGGTTTATGGGTTGGTTTTTCGGTAGGTGCCTCTGTAGGTTTTTGAGTTGGTTTATGTGTTGGCCTGTGTGTTGGTTCATGTGTTGGAGTTTCAGTAGGAGCATCAGTAGGACTAGCTGTGGGTTTATGAGTTGGTTCTACAGTGGGTGCCTCAGTGGGCTTATGTGTTGGCGGGTGAGTTGGTTTATGAGTAGGAATTTCAGTAGGCATCTCAGTAGGCTTATGTGTTGGTGGGTGAGTTGGTTTATGGGTAGGAATTTCAGTAGGCTCTTCAGTTGGTGCTATAGTAGGCTCTGCAGTGGGTTTGTCAGTTGGCGCCTCTGTGGGTTTCTCAGTAGGTTTTTGGGTTGGTTTTGATGTAGGCGCTGGAGTGGGATCAGGATATCCGGGTCCAACTGGTGGATACGGATGAGGCCTCCACAAATCTTCGGTTACACATACCTAAAAAAAATTACAGTTAATTAAATGTGAGGTATGAAATTGTAATAAATATCAACAAATTGTAAGGTAAACTAATTTAATGTAAAATATATTTTCTTAATGTTGCAATAATTTATCTTAAAGCTTCCTAATATCAGTTTCATTTTTCAAAATAATACCTGGTAGTCAAATTTGAAGAATGTTCCAGGAGCACATGGCATCCTGGTAGCACGTTCGTTTAGTTGGGTGCATTGGAAGAACCAGCGATTGTCAGAATAATCAGGCCAGAGTTTCACCAGATGGCTCACCTTTGAGCAAACTGGTGCAACTACATAAGAAGATGCTGTTGCGACGCCACAAAACAGTGACGCCACAAGCACCACGGTGCCAATGGCAGCTGTAGAAAGCAAAAATAATAATAATAATTGATAATATATATATATATATATATATAAATATATATATATATATATATAATTATAATAAATGATAATAAATTACTTTGTTTTAAGTAAAATTTATACTTAGAACAATATTTTTCTTCTTATGACATCGACTATTTTGTGACATATTTTTAAATAAAAACTTAAAAACTAATAATTTCCAGTAGATTATTTTCAACGTTATAAAGTATAATCATAACATATTATTTGGTATCGAAATAAATGTTATCAATTGTCATTTTACCCTCATATCATTACTAATTATCAATATTGTTTTACTGCAGAATTATTTACATCAAATTCAATTATCCCGCCGTATGACAAAAACACTTTTGTTTGATGGTAAAAAAAATCACAACAGAAGTCGCCACTTTCAAATTTACACGAAGAAAGAATCCGCACATGTAAAATACTTCTGTTAAGATGTAAAAGTGGCGAACATGGTGTTAGAAGGTTAGTTCTTCGAAAGACGTGAAGGTCTCACCTTCTGACTCTCCGGAAGAGTTAGGACCAAGGAGTGATAAACATTCATATTTTGGAAGATGACAAAGTGTTTAGTGTTTATTGAGTAAAATTTGAGAAACTTGAATCAAGACAAAAGTGTTGTGGAATTAGTGCCAACGACACTGGATCCAGCAGGAGGAGGATAAAAGGTAACAGAGATTTACCCAAAAACATTTCAGATTTGGGATGTTTTTATCATAGTAAACAACAGTATTGCGGTTTACATTATTTTTGTATTCGAAATTTTTATACTTGGGTATTAAGCCCTTTATGATTAACATAAAGTAATATAAATAATATATGTATGTAATAAAATAATAAAATGTTGAACAATTTTTCATCAAAACATTTATTTACATGTAAAGCGAATGAGGTTTGCCATACTAAACAATTTCCGGTAAAAAATTGACGAAAGTCCTTATTTGGTGTATTTCTTTGTTAAAAACAATTACATTGTATTGGGTATATGTTTTCCAATGTATTAATAGGGGGTCAAATGGCAAAAAATTAAAAAAGCGAGACAAAATTCGTGGATAGATATATTTGATATCTATGAATATTTAAATATATGATACGGCCAACACTTTTTAAAAAAATCCGTGGATAGATATATTTGAATATTTGAATAAATAAACATACTAAACAATTGCCGGTAAAAAATTGACGAAAGTCCATATTTGGTGTATTTCTTTGTTAAAAACAATTACATTGTATTAGGTATATGTTTTCCAATGTATTAATAGGGGGTCAAATGGCAAAAAATTTAAAAAAGCGAGACAAAATTTGTGGATAGATATATTTGATATCTTTGAATTTTTAAATATATAATACGGCCAACACTTTTTAAAAAAATCCGTGGATAGATATATTTGAATATTTGAATAAATAAGGCACAACACTTTGCTAAAAAAATCCGTGGATTCTAGATATCTTCGAATATTCGAAAAAATCTTAATCAAAATAAAAAGTAAATTTATTAAACAAATTAATTAATTCCACTCACCTTTCATGTCTCCAAATTGGTTCTATCGATTATGTTAAACTAGTTTCAACTGCGTCAGTAATAAAATTAAAGATGATAATAAATCATTCAGTTTTATATACCTAATATTATCATTATCTTATGCGAAATGTGACACATACGATTTATATCCATATAGATTAATTAAATACAATGGTTTTATATGTACGTAAGATGGAAATCTTCCCATTCGCAGATAAAGATAACTGAACAGGCTCGAGCCGCCGACAAATTGATAGGAATCAGAAGATTCTTTGTCATGTTTTTTGTATAAATTATTTTGAATTATTGAATTACAAACAATTACTCATTTTGTATTAATAAAAATGATTTTTTTAAAATATTAAGGTTGGCTAAATAAGTGCGATTTTTTATGGTCGCAATTGAATTTTTAGGTTTGCTGATGTAGCCCAAATGTGCAATGCCTTTGGGTAGTAGACAATTTAGATTTCCAAGAATTGTCTGGTCGATTGCGCAGAATTGTGTTAGCATATTTTTTATCATATTTTGTTTTTTTATTTCTGCAAAGGTAAAAAGGCGTCTCAAACCCTAAAGACTTATGACCTTCTGTTCATGGTTATGAAGTCTTAGAAAAACGGTATCGACAAAGTTTGTTTGCCAAGTTTCGTTCTGGTGATTTTTCACTCAAATATAAAAAATGCTCTAGTTGTCTAGTTGAACTGGATAACAATGGAATTGCCTACTTTTACTCTTACCACCATACCGCACCATCAATTCTGATGCCTACATTGAACAACTAATGATGGTAAACAACCCAATCGAAGAAAAACTATTTGAATTGACAATTCTGAATAGTGATTTATAAATATATGATGTTGCTTGAAAGATGACAAAAAGTCATTGATCTAAATGAACAATACATTACAGAATAAAGTTCCATGAAAAATAACTTTGATCTTCTAACTAAAACCCGGAATTACTTAGTTGCCAACCTAATATATACTGTCATTTTTTGCAATAATAAAGAAAAACAGAACACCTGATGAAAATGATAAATATTCATATGGAATAAAAAAATATCTATCAGCTGTCACATCTGTTTTTTTAATTCAATCAGATTTTAATACTTTATAGTTCTATGAGCTATTGTAATGAAACTTCTCCTTACCAACGTCGAATTTCAGAAGGCAACCCAAAAATTGACCTAATTTTATTTGATATATTTATGATTCTTAGAACTTCTCTAATGCCGGAGAAAATATCTATCTTATTTTCAGTTTTTTTTTCATATCTTAACATCAATCAGAACCTTACGTCCTATGAACTGTTGTGCTGAAACTTTTCCTTACTTCGTATTTTTAGATGGTAACCCAATGGTTAATCTATCCATATTTGATGATTTTTTAATTAGAATTTATCTAATAGAGCTGACTTTTTATTGGTGCAGCAATGCCGGATTAAGGGCTGTTTTCACTTGGAAACTTGTTGCTATCTATATTTTCAAGTGAAAAAACCTTGTCACTACTGCTTGACAACTGGCTGCTCAAAGTGGGTCTTGAACTCAGAACCTCTGAATCAAGTCCCGTTGCTCTAAACCACTTACCTAAGGGCAAACCCTTAGAGTTAGAAATCTATTCACTTGAATCTATATTTTCAAGTCAAAAACTTTGTCACTACTGCTTGATATAAGGTTCTGGGCCTTCATAGAACCAGTAGTTTTGTGGTTGCAAGGCCAAAGCTTGTACCATTGATCCAAAGAAATTTTTTATTCGATTTTTTTAAATTACATTACATTACTTATTATGTAGTCAAGAGGATTTTTTAAACTATATATAGTTATATATTATAGTTATGTATATTATATAGTTATATATATTAAGTACATATGTTGACATATAGTTTCTTGGACATATTACAACTATTGGTTCTCAGTATATTTTTTATATATAAAATGAATAATTCAAAAATCCATCATCTTTTGCTTTTCTTGAAGATATTGTTTGCTTAAATCTTATCAAGATCATGTTTCTTGACAGATGACCTGAAGATGGATTTTTTATATATAAAATGAATAATTCAAAAATCCATCATCTTTTGCTTTTCTTGAAGATATTGTTTGCTTAAATCTTATCAAGATCATGTTTCTTGACAGATGACCTGAAGATGGAACGTACCTAGTTTCGAAACGTCGACAGTAAATAAATAAAGAAATGGTTTTTTGGAAAAACTTGTTTGTACTTTATTACTTTTTGGATTCTTTATTCGAAGCTAGTTCTTTCTTTGAAAATAATTTGAAATAATTGGGCTATTTTTACTTTGACAATAATTAAATTCTGTTTTTTTCCTTCTCGTTTTACTGATTGCAAATATCAATTTCTCACATTTTGTCCAATAATTTCTTTGCGCGCCTTTCGATACATTATCTCTTTTATCTTTGACATTATCTATGCGTTGCTGGTTGATGGATTATATATTTGAATTAAATTCCAATCTGCTTTATCCATCTCTGATGAATAGCAGAATTATTATCTTATCGAATCGATGGTATTAACTTAGGCGGATATATTAATTATACAACTTAATTAATATATTAAAAGACACATTCTGGTATTTATTCGGCATGTGATGTATACTTATTGAATAACTTTAGGAAGTGTATTTATTGAATAACATAATACTAATCCTTTGATAAAAAATGGTAAAAATTAGTACTATTTAACCCATTGAAATTAAAACTGTATCAAAAGGTTCTTTTAGCGAATTTTACATATTAATGAGTCACATGAGTCAAATTGGGTAAAATGCGTTAAAAAAATGTGAATACTTTGTCCTATGAGCTGTTTTGATAATAGTCAACCTAATAGTTAACTCTTTTATATCCGATATAATTTTATTATTACAATTTACCTAATAATGATTACTACTGCTTGATACCAAGTTGTCTGAGACGAGATCCTGATACCATCTCTTTGAAAGACCGAAGCTCTAATCACTAAGCCACGGGTAGCTCAGAAAATTATTTGAATCGATAATAAGAATCAAGGAACCATTTTTAAAATAGAGTTTTATGAGAATCTAACAATGACCCTAGTTTTTGGATAAATATCTGCATTATAGATTTTTGGAACAAAGTAAAATTTAAGTAAATTATTGTTAAATAATATTTACAAATTATTTAATATCAATATCAAGGAATTTTTGTCTATGAATTGTATAAATATAGAAGTGTATTCAAATTAGTTAAGAAATTGTCCGTGGCCTTGTGATAAGAGCTTTGGTCTTGCAAAGGGAAGGTAACAAGATTTTTATATCTTAGATTTAATAGGTTTTACACCTATTTTTTATACAAGTTATGATGTTAATACAACAGATATAAATTCTGTTTTGTCCTCATGTTTCTTTTTATTCAATATATTAAATATTTTTTACAATCATTATTTATATATAATTATTCTGTACAAATATAATTTTACACAAAACATAGGATTTTTAGCTTAAATCACATTTTTTACAGCTAAATCTTTTCATTGCAACGATGCATTTAAAAATTATATTCCAATGTTTTTCCTTAATCTATTCAGTCCAAAAATTAATCATCATACGATGATTAACTTGGTTTATATAAATATTTTACATACATACATACATAATTTATAATTACTTAATAAATAAACTATCTCACATAAAATTTAAATAATGTGTTTGAGTGTTCTTACAACATCATAAAGAGCTCTGGATTCAAATATAATTATTATTATATTTTAATTATAAAGTGGTTTTAAAAATAAAAATTTCTTGAGTACACATACAAACTCACAACTAGACACAAATATGTCAACTTCTACTCTTACAAGTAAAAGACAAAATCATACCAATAACTTTTTAAAATTATTCTCTCTATTGTTATTATATTTTTCACATACTTTTAAAAACCATCCATCAGTATTAAATATAAGTATTGTGATCTTTCTATACGAGGGTCAATCAACAAGTACTTAGCCTCACCGCAACTTTTCGGACTATTTTGGAGCTCTCAAGAAAACGTATTTTTTGGGCGGGTTGAAATGGATGAAGCACCACCGCTGGAGGCTAAATGTATCAAACTTGAAGAAGATTATGTTCAAAAGTTGACACTTTTCTGTGGCATTGTTTTTCATTTGTAGGCTAAGTACTTGTTGAATGACCCTCGTATACATATTTATTTTCTATTGCAAATAAATTATGATTATTTAAACATTATTGTTTTTTGAGTCCTCAAATTTATAAGCAAACATATAAAAAAATAGATACGTTATTCGGGCTTTGTATAAAGTAAGCTATTAGAATAAACTATGATAAAAATAAAATTATGATAACAATGACTACTATACATAAAGTAGTAGACGATTAAATATATACAAATCAATTTTTCACCAATATATATATATATATTAGGGTGGTCCTTAAAAAGGTCATTTTCGAATTTCCTTGCTCCCAGGGGCTCAAATGGTTCCAAATAGATAAAAAACAATTCTCTGAAAGTTTTAGCTCCTAATATTAACGTTTAGATAGAGCGCAATTCAATCAAAGTTTGTATGGAAAGAGCATGGAAAAATTTTTGAAAATTAAAAAAAAATGTTTTAGGTATAAGTTAGCGACAAATGAATGAGTTTTATTCATTCATTTGTTCGCTAAATTACATCTAGAAGACATTTTTTAAATTTTTGAAAATTTTTCCATGCTATTTCCATACAAAACTTTGATTGAATTGCGCTCTATCTAAACGTTAATATTAAGAGCTAAAACTTTCAGGGAATTGTTTTTTATCTATTTGGAACCAGTTGAGCCCCTGGGAGCAAGGAAATTCGAAAATGACCTTTTTAAGGACCACCCTAATATATATATATATATATATATATATATATATATATATATATATATATAATTGAACTGCAAGTTATCAATACAGATTTTTTTCTCTATTGAATTTATTAAAAGCAGTTCTTCTGTTTTTATATTTTCAGTAAATAAATATTTCAATCAAAAAGTCAGTATATATAGAACATAATTCAATAATTCTAAATAAATGATTACAAAACAATATAATTAATGTGTAACAATGCTAAGTTGTTATATTAAAATACTAACATCTAATAAACACATTCATTCTCGAAAGGGTATGTAATTTGGGCAAATATAATATTAGCCATTTTAAAACTAATTAACAAATTATACTTAATACTGAATTATTTTCACTCTGTTTGTGGTTTCATTTTACAATATTTTCTTTTATGTTTCATCATTCCTTTAGACTGCGCAAAGTCCCTCTGACAGAATTCACATTTAAACAATTTCATACCCGTGTGCAACATTTTATGATCAGAAAGAGTCCCAATCCTCGCAAAAGCTTTACTGCAAACATCACAAACATAAGGACGTTCACCCGTATGAGTTCTATTATGGTGATTCAGATAACTCTTAGACGCAAAAGTTTTTGCACAAATATTGCATTCATAGGGCTTCTCACCCGAATGAGTCCTCATATGCGCAGATAGATTCTGGGGCTGTGCAAAAGTCTTATGGCATTCTTCGCATTCATAAGGGCGTTCACCAGTATGAATGCGAGTATGCAGAACCATTGAGCTTTTTGTTGCAAAAGTTTTCTCACAGTGATCGCAAGAGTATCTCTTGGCGTTGTCATGGGTTTCTATGTGTTTTTGTAAATCAGAAAGTTCATTAAAACTCTTTTCACAAACTGCACACCAAAACAGTTTTTGTCTAGCACCTGTTCTAGCAATGGGACCACATTCTTTAACATGGGCTTGGAAATAAAGAAGTGATGAACAAGTAAAAGGACATTTTCTGCATTTGTATTCATCGTCATCTGATCCAGAACCAATTTTACTCACAATCATTTCACAATCGATTGCAAGGGTGGCTGCACCATTATCAATATCATTCTTTTCATTTATAGATTCAGAAATGTTTAATTTATCATTATTATCATTGTCAGATCCAATACAGTCATTGTTGTCAATTATTGATGTGTGTCCATTTCCAATGTTTTGGTTTTTCATATCATCGTTTTCTTCGGCACCGTTATTTTCTAGGCCATTTTCCGACATTGCTATTAAATTACTTTACAAATTTCCACATCATATTAACTAACAAATAATTTCACAGTAAGGTTTTGGCCAAAAAATATTAAAATTAAACAAAAGTGACACAAAGACCGCCATGCTTGAATTTAACAGCGATGCTAAAACATTTTAAATATCTGTAACTTGAGGAAAAACGCAGTTTTTCCAAATTTAATATTTAATATAAAATTGATATTTCAGAATTTATTAATTATTTTGAGTATTATTTCATGTTGTCCAAATATTTATAATATTTGTACAAAATATATAGTGTAAACCAGTGTAAACATTTAGAAACACTGTCATTGTTAATATATACATTGAAGTTAGCAACGTCCATCATGAAAATTAAGGGCGCTAAATTTGAATTCAAATTCTCATATGTTGTTTTATATTTATTAACAAAAATCTTTTTCAAATGTCTGTTGGTCAATGTAGTGTTTAATTGAAATAAATTCAGCTCAGAATCCAATTAGACTGAAGCTTACTAAGGTTACATACAAATATTAAATCAGGTGTGAGTGGCATTTTGCCATAAGTTGCATAAACTTTCCAATATGTATAAATAATCTAATTAATAAGAGCTCAGATTTAGTTATTTAAATAAAAAATTTAACCACTTATCGTAGGCCTGTAATATTCCAGTATGTTAACTCAGTGATACATTTGTTTCACTTGTATATTGAAATATTGTAGGCCTATGGTAAGTGGTTGAACTGTGAGGAGTTGGAGATGTTAGAGAAAACATAAACCCCGATACCTATAATTTTTAAGGACCTATTCTAAAATTATATGTTAAAATTGCAACAAAATAATACATCAACCATTTTTAAACTATATATGCATTCAGAAAAAACTTTACAATTTTCAATTTTCTTTTATCCACACATTTGATATTTTGAAGGCCGATTACAATCACACGGTTTTAACTAATTTTTGCTATTAGTACATATTTTTGATAAAATTCTCTTCACTTTTGTGTAAGATAAGGTCTTGAACCGTGCATCTCATGGGCCGGAGTGCAGTGGGCCAAACTCAAAATATCGTAAAAATTGATCAGAAGAATGCAGACCCATTGTAGAACGCTTCGACGCCGAGGAATCCTTGAAGAAGGAATATCCTGGAAATATAAATTGATAAAAAAATTAGTTTTGGAAGGAATTCCAACGTTGACCAAATTTCAAAATTTTTAATTTATAGTTCAACAAAAAGCCTTAATTCCTGAAAATATGGGGCAATTGTGTCGTTATTTTTGACTGTGATCCTAGAGAAATGTTATTAACGTTTACGGTTGTATAGCTTAATTGAACAAAAGTAATAAAAATTAACCATAATAACTAAAATATGGCCACAATTTCACTAAAGAACTAGATTGCACCTAAAAGTTCATAATTCCCAAACAATGTGAGTTTCTTCTCCAATTTTTATTAGGACAGTTACAGTCAATACGTACTATCAGCCCGTTGCGGCTTGACGTTGAGTTCTGGAACACCCTGTATACTTTGTGTTGAAATTCTAATTGAAAGTGCTGAGTACTTCTTGCAGCATTTGCTTGCATCTTTTTTTGTTTTCTTGACTACATCCTGAAGTTGAGTTCTGGGTCACTCTGCATACCATTTTATCTTCTCCAGCACCACATCCTGACGTTGAGTTCTGGGTTACCCTGTATACTATCTGTTAAAAATCTAATTGAAACTTTTTAGTCTTATTATTATCCTTATTGGTGCTGGATATTTCTTAGAGCATTTGCTTGCAGTGCTTTTTTGCTTCCTTGTCGATCCATTTTATCTTCTTCAGCATCATATTTTGACGTTGATTTCTGGGACACCCTATATACTAGTATATACAATACACATAGCTATGTGTTGAGAATCTAATTGAAGCATTTATTAAGGCCTATTATTATTATTATCGGCACTGATTACTTCTTGCAGCATTTCCTTGCAGTATTCTTTTTTTGTTTCAATGTTGATCCATTTAATTTCTCCAGCACAAAACTCTGACGTTGATTTCTGGGACACTCTGTATACTATGTGTTGAGAATCTAATTGAAACTTTTATTAGGGCTTGTTAGTATTATTATCGGTGCTGATGACTTCTTGCAGCATTTACTTGCAGTATTTTTTCTTTGTATCCTTGTCGATCCATTTTGTCTTCTTCAGCACCACATCCTGGCGTTGAGTTCTGGGATGCCCGGTATACTATGTGTTAAAACTCTAATTGAAACTTTTCTTTATCGGTGCTAGGTATATTTGCTTGCAATACTTCTTTTTTATTTCATTGCTGGTCCATTTAATCTTCTCCTGGACCGCATATTGAAAATCTAGATGAATTGTTACCGGTCTTATTCTTGGTAAAGCGTACTCTAAATTTATTTTTGGACACTATAATTCGACTTTTTTTATTTTTGTATTCAAGAATGCAACAGCCTCGCCCCGCAGGTTGGAAATCACTGACATAATCGCTTCCAAGCAGATTCCGCGTACTCAGATAATGTTTCTCAAATATTCCTTATGATCCTTAGGAGTTATATTTAATGCAAATTCAATAATTATATATGGTAAATATAAATTACAGTTTCAAGACTTTTCTTCAAGATCAAGTTAGACTAGTCGTAAAACACATTCACAATAAATAAGTTTTATACTTTAATTATACATAATATTTTTGAAGGTATTATTTTTTAATTCTTTCAGTACATATGCCTAGTTGTCTACTAGTACACATGGCTAGCTTTTTGGTATATAAATATTTCCTTCAATTGATATACTTCACCCTTAGAGATATTTATTTTTTATTACTGGCGGCATGTTTCACAGTCAAATTAAAAGCATATCAGAAATCTTTATTAATAATTTGTAATATCAATTTTTCATTCTAATATTATTAACAGCAATCAAAACTTATTAGTCCTATAAGCTTGATATGATGACTTCTCAATGACTTGGCTTTATTGATATACTCGTATAGATGGTAAACTATAACGGTTGTCCTGTCTTTATTTCTTAAATTTATTATTGGGAATTTTAAAACTAATGATTTTTTGGATGCAGCAATCATGAATGAGACTTATTTGGACTTGGAAACATTGCCATAATATATTTTCAAGTAAAACCTGATGTCACTACTTCTTGACTACTTAATCCAACCCATCAACACAAGCAAGAAACACTGGGACTAATGTTTAATTATATATATATATATATATATATATATATATACATGTGTATATATACGAGTATATATATATATATATATATATATATATATATATATATATAAACTTTCTATAGAATCTTACCATTATAATGTCGCCTTCACCCAGCTGAAATTTGTCCAACTCGTTTAGCAACTCCAATGCTTGATCTCCTTCATCCATTTTTTTCCCAACTTTGAAGCATAAGTCTTCCTTCTTCATTTTTCTCCTACATAACAGAAATTAAAAAATATTTAATTTTGAATTTTAGAACTACAAATTTAAATTACACACTTCTAATTGTCATTGTCAACGTGTGTGTGTGTCTTTTTTTTAATTATACAATACGATAATTATTTTATTTACACAGTAATTTATTAAATTAAGTATTATTTAATATTGTAATATATTTTTTTACCTTTTTGGTGTGTGCGGCTTAAAATATGCGCTCATCGGGTTCATTCTGTGGAACTCCAATAGGTGGTGACAAAAATTTTTTGAACCCAGACAAATTTCTAAACAAAAGCTCCACTACTCGTCAAATAAACTTTTGTTTATAAATAGCAAATATTTGAAATGTTTGAATTCAAAGCCAGTCAGTTATGTTGATAAATTGATGGCGATAGACATAAATTTTGAACAGATATGAGAAGACAACAAGATGTTTGTAAAATCTTGGAATTTCCGTTTGGGAAGGATGTTTTTCCATTGGTTTATTGAAATGAGAACGTTATGGAGCACTTTATATATTAATTGAAAATTTTCTAAAAGTATTTCTACATATCAGAAGAGATTTCCGACATTTTCACATATTTTAAAATTTATCCATAGAAATACTGAATTTCTCATATCTTGATATTTATTTTGTATAAATATGACCCTTAAAATTTACTTTTATATATAGTGATTTCCAACCCTATTGTATCAATTAGTACACCCCCATTTCTAATAAGAAAAATCTTGCGCCCCCTTAATTTTTTGGACAATTTAATTTTATAAATATTCAACAATTTCCCATAGAAGAAATTTGTTTTCGAGTTTCTTCAGTGAAAAAATATGTGTGTATGTGAAAACAAAATTTAACAATTTTCCACGTTTTTCCGCAATGATCAGTTTTGTATGACAATCGGGTCAGCCGTTTCTTTATAAAATGCAAAAAAATCATCAGCATTTTAACGAACGTCCTAAAATATTATAGGCCTACGAAAAGTTTTTCAATTATAAAATTTTGTTGAAACTAGACTGAAAAGTGTTAAATATATTTATATTTATATATTAAGATTTCTAAAAAGCAAAAACTTCAATATAAACAGTTAAATAAATATTTCATCTAAACAATTTTATAAGTTTCTAAATTTCAAAACCTTTTTAAGCAAATTATTCAAACACTTTAGGAAGCTCAGGCAATTCATATTAAAGCAGTGGCTCCCAACCTTTCAGACTACAAATTAAAATGCAATATTGTATGAAAAAATATACTTAAAAATAAATTCGTTTATTTTTTATATTTATCATTTCAAAATTTTGGTTTATTTTGCCTTAAAGGTAAACACCACTTACACCTAAATATTAATACGAGATCTATACATTTTCAACGGTTTAATTGATATAAAAATGAAATACATATATATATATATATATATATATATATATATATATATATATCATGATATATAGATATAAAATGATTCATTCATCCAACTAAAAGACTGTAAATAATACATATAAAGTTAAAGTTTAGTAAAACTAAACACTATTTTTAATATAAAGTATATTTATTTCTTACATGAAACGCTTTTAGTCATATAAAATACAATATAAAAATTATAAATCTATTTTTACAAATATTACTTTACTATCTAATCGTCAATAATTGGTACATTTCTCTTCGTCAAAAAACATCCATCAGGCACTTCTGTTAAAAATTTATAATTTGTTTATTTTAAAACATTTATATCACAAATCTTAAAGTTGGAAGATTCAAACAATTGTCATTAATTCACAAAAAAGAAATTTGAAAGAATGTTTTTAATATAAATATAGAACTTTTGTGACTAACCATAAGTTGGACCAAATATATTCTAATGTGCCCGCCACAACCAAAATAATTTTTTATCTTTAATTTTAAAGCACTTTCAGAAGTTTTATATATAATTTTAATAACTTGGAAGATCAATTATAGTAAACAAAATTACTACAAGTCAAATTTATCTCGGCAAGTCATATTAATAAAAGTTGAAATAGAACAAAATATTTTTTACAATTTTACCTTAAACTAGAACTATAAAGGCGCTTATTGGTATGGGGTTCTTTAAGTATTACTTAAGTAATTTTAAATCTATTTGTTATCTAGAAGAATAAATTAAGAAAAATCACAGACCTTCACAAAGATTAATAATATACATCATTAGAAAAATATCAATTTCAATTAGTTATTGCTTTAAATAACATATATTGTTTCGTTCTATAATCTAATAGAAAAATTTTTTCCAAGGGTTCTAGAAAACATAATATTTGTATAAAATTATGCCAATATATACAAATTTAGCAAATAATGTCTTTTAGACTGTTTCACAACACTCAATCTATAATAAATTGAAGGAAATAATGTTTTTGGGTGAAAATGTCCAAGGACTTCTTATGTAATACTTCGATGGCCCCTTATAAGAACACTTGTACCTTAATAAAACCCATCATATTTATGAGTTTTTTTGTAAAACATTTAATCTAACTTAAACTTAAGTTATGTTATATACAGTTATTTGTTGTTCGGTTATACCTTTATAATATAAGTATATTTACAATCCATATAAAAACTATAAGTATACTTAATTGCTATTCCTAACCATTAGGTAAGGAAATACAAATGTCTTAATTTTAATGAGTTATAATTATAAAAAATGAAATAAAAATATATACAATAAACTAAGTTAACTTATAATATACTTAAAAAGTACGTATATAAAATTCCTAAAGTTCGAATAGTTTATAGAGACATAGTTTTCATAGCACAACCAAAAATATTTTCAAAAGCACAAAACTTCAAATTATAATTATCTATATTTAAAATTTATTTGTTTTGATATGTATGTGTTCCAGACATTATTATAAATTTCTCCTTCACTTAAAAGAAATAAATTAAATATTCAAGAAAAATTAAATTAATATTTTTGCACAAAGGATATAAAGAAGTTGACAAAATACAATATGATCCTGTTAGAACGCTTAATACGTTTTGTCGTATAATACAATTTTTAGACTGGTCACTGCACTTTGAAACATATTGTCCCCATCCCGCATAATACGCGTTTTTGTTCCTTGAAAATCGTCTTAACGGAGTTTTACTGACTTGATATATATGCGTTCCAAACATTATTACAATTTTTTCCTTGAATTAAAAAAAATAAATTACCATTCAAGAAAAATTAAATCAATATTTTTGAACACATTGGCAAAATTTAATAAAAAAAACAGTATGACCACGTTAAAACGATCTTGCTTAATACAATTTCTCACATAATTCATAGTCACTTTGTCTGCACTTAACATATTGTCCCCATCCCGCTTAATATGCGTTTTTGTTCCTGGACAATCGTCTTAACGAGGTTTAACTGAATTTACTTTTAATATGATGATTTTATATGAAAGTTCAAATAAACTTCACACAATATTTATGTGAATATTTTAGTATTTACATACTTATTACAAATTAATGCAAACAAATTAAAAAAATAAGTAAAGGTATTAATAAATCAATTTTTTAATATTAATAATAAATATTTATAATTTAATTAATACCTTTGCATTGCATTAACTTATGATAAGTACCTACATACTAATTTTCACAAAAAATATTACCTCAATCGAATTAAACAAAAATGAAATAATAATATTAGATCGAAAGGAATAAGAAGAAAGTATCCTTTCTTGATAAATGATAATATATTTTATTTGTTTATAATTTTTTTTATCAGTAAGTATTTTCTTAGAATTGTGTATAAAAAATATAAATTATTATGAAAGTTGGTAGCAAGTGTAAGTCAATAAAGTTTATGAATCTTGTTTTATTTTCAAACAGAACTAAAATAATTAAAAAAAATTAAATATGAAATGAAAAATTTAGATGAAATTAACTTGAAATTGTGCTAAATTCAGTTGAAATTTGTAACAAACACAAACAAGTATAATAAATGCTATAAAGTTGATTATATCTTGATTTTTACTAATTTTTATCCAGATCTTACTCAAAATTATGATATAGAAACTCAAGATACTATATAAAATCATCATATTAGTAGAATGTTATTTTTTTTATATACTTATAAAAAATATTTTGTTTAATGAAATTTTGTCAACTACCTTATCTCGAAGTTATTTATTGTTCAGGAGCTGCATCTGTTGAACTGCTAGTATCCTGCTTTTTCCTCCTCCTCTTGGGTGCAGTACTAGGTGGCAAATCATGTCGTTTTGTATTCATATGTTTCTTATAGTTACCAGGATTGGTAAACTCCTTCCCACATTTCTTACAAGTGTACGGCTTGATGCCAGCATGTATCCTCAAATGATATATCAAACCATCCTTTCTACCAAATTGCCGATTGCACAAATGGCACTCATACTGCTTAAATCCCTGTTCGGTATGTGCAGTCCTCATGTGCCTATCGTGCTCATATCTTTGTTTAAATGTCTTTCCGCAAGTCGCACAACTGAATTTCCTGGGATACTTATCTCCCAAATGAGTCCTTTGATGTTTATTCAGATCTCCCGAGGCAATAAAAGCCATGTTGCAGCCTTTTTCAGTACATTTGAAAGGTTTTTCCCCTGTGTGCAAACGTATATGTCTTGTTAAGTCACCTGTACAGGTAAATCCTCTTGAACAATAAGGACAAATTTTGCTTTTAACTTTTTCATGAACTCTTAAAACATGTACTTTTAAATCATTTGATGTCAGCATATTCACATGGCAATGTGGGCAAACAAAAGTTTTGTTTGATTTATTTTTATTTTTAGTGCTAACTTTAGATTTTTCCTTAGTATTTAATTCCTCCACATTTAATTTTACATCTTCTCCAGGTATGTCTAAACATATTCGTTTAACTGGTGGTCCAACTTCTATTGGAGTATTTTGAGGTTCTTCCATAGGTGTTTCAGGTATTGGAGACTGTGTGTTTGTTTGATTATCATTTACTTTCTCATTAGTTGTTTGTTCAACTATAGTTACTACATTGTTAGTTACAGTAACTTTTACTTCATCTCCAGTAGTTGATTCTTTACTTATATCCATTGTAGATGTTTCAATTACAACTTTTTTCTTAGAACAAATATGTTTTTTTAAAACACTAGGTCTGCGAAAAGCTTTATTGCAGTCACTACATTTATGAAATTTAATACTTTTTTTAGAATGTGTTTTGTTATTATTTTCAGTTGGGTGAGATTCCTCTTCATGTTTTTTCAACAAAGATTTACGTAAGAAAATTTTCTCACATTTTTTGCAATGGAATGTATGTATTTCAGTACCTATTGTTTCTAATTTAATAATATTTTCAGTCTCATCTGGTTTTTGTTCACGCTTCACAGATTTAGTTAAAGCCGGTTTTACAATGTCTGTTATTGTATTTTTTTCAGCAAATGAATTATTTTCAACAATCCAATTATCTTTAGCATTAACATCTTTAACTTTGGTAGCCTCTTTCCCTTTTTTCTTCTTCAATATTTTTTTCTTTTGAGACTTTTTTCTCAAGCTTAGAAGACTTGTTGGTTTCGACCTTGTGTTTGGACGGTTTTTATTCTTTGTTGACCTTAAAACTTTATTTGATTGCCGAATCTTAGGAGCAGGCGCATCAAGTACATTTGCAGGTGTTTCTTTATTTTCTATCACAGGTATGTTCTCCTTTTGACCAACTGATAAACGCTTCTTTCTCAAAGTCAATGTTGCACCTTCTTTATCTTCGTTAACATTGTTGTCAGTGATAATATTATTAGAATTTACTATAGCTTTTCTAGATTTCGAACTATTGTTGATTGAAATGATTTTTTCAGATTCCTTTTGAGGTGATACACTTTCTACTATTGATTCATCCAGAGTATCATTTGGACTTTCTTTATCTTCTTTAGATAAATTTTTGCTGACTGTGTTAATTTCTTCACCAGAAACGGATTTTTCAGAATCTTTTTGTACATTTGAAGGTAGGACACTTATTAATTCTGTTTGAGAAACATGACATTTTTCTTCAATCGGTTTAACGCTTTCAATATTTACTAAATCATTTTTACATATGTCAACATTTTTACCATTTTTTAATCCTAAAACTTTTTCATTATCAATAGGTTTGGTATTAAAATATTCAGTTACTTTCTTCTGAATACGTGATCTTGCTTTTGAAAGATCTAGATTTTTACCTTCTGTTTGCGAAGTACTTAAATTGTTATCTGCTTTATTATTTGGTGATCCTAATTTGTAAATTACTGTCATAGGTACAATTTCGGTCTGCTTTTTCAAATCTAATGTATTTGGAATCCTTAAATCACCTGAAGCACATAACTCTGATGTATTTAGAGACTCTTCAATTGTATTCGATGAAATCGCTGAAGTGCAAGAAGAATTAACAATATGAATGTCTGATTTAGTTTGTTCTGTATTATCAGTACTAATAGTTTCTGCACAACTTGCATCCACCTCCACAATAGGTATTGAACTTAGAACATTATTCTCAGGACTATTGCATTCATTAGTTTTTACAGTTGAAGTTTTTTCTACCACTAATTCTTTGGAAATGTTTTGAGCACCTTTAGTAATATCTTCAGTTAATTTCAGATCATCAACATTTGTTAACTGTCTTTCTTTCAACATATTTTTCCCTTTATCATCTTTAAATATGGAGAATGAAATATTGTTTTTTATTGCTTTTGCCATAGGCACAATTTTCTGTTGATGCTTTCTTGGACTTCTGCATGATTTAAGGGTCCCTTTTTGAGATTTAATTTTACGCTTTTGAATAAGGTTTCTGCCGCTTTTGTTAGCTACAACAAATTTTCCATTACGAAGTATTTTCTTCTGACTGTGCATAATACTTTCAATGAGTTTAACATTTTCTGCTTCAGGATTGAAAATATAAACACTTGCAGCATCTGTAGATTTGTCTTTAATTTCTAGTGAAATAAAATCAGATAAACATTGACTACTTATAGTAATTGGTTCATTTTGTTTAGAAGTATTATCGGATTTATTATCTTCAGCGATTTGTGGTGCATAAATAGGTCTTTTAATATTAGGATTTTTCAATTTAATCAATCCACTTTCAGTATTTGTTCCACTATTCAATGCTTGAGACGGAGTAGGCAACATACTTGTAGCATTTTCTGAAATAGTTTTCGTGGAGCTTTCATTTTTTGACTTCAGTCTCATCACTCGTTTGGGACTTAATTGTCTTGCAAGTATAGGAATTATAACATCTGGTTGACATTCAATTTTAATACTCTCAATTGGCACATCATTG